GTTACTGTTGGGTGCAATCTTCGTCTATGATTTTGTGTACTGCTGTCGGGCTACTTTAAGTTGCTGAAAGACATGATCCACTTTTGGACTCCACCCATATACGTCCTTCTTAAGTTGTGTGAGAGGCCAAGCAATGTCACTATACCTACACACAAAGAGACGACAGTACCCTGTTAACCCCAATAATCCACGAAGCTCCCGTGAAATTTCTAGGAGTGGGCCAATGTACCATTGATGAAATTTTGCTGGGATCTGTCTCTACCACTTTTTAAGACACGAAATGTCCCAAATACTCAATCTGATGTTTGGCAAATTGGCATTTCTTAGCATTAGTATACAATTGATGAGTGGATAACACATTAAAGACTAGCTCAAGGTGTTGCACATGGGTCGTCACATCCTTACTGTAAACCAAGATGTCATCGAAAAACACTTACACGAATTTTCTGAGGAAGTCTCTGAATACCTAGTTCATTAATGATTGGAAAGTGGTTGGAGCATTGGTGAAGCCAAACTACATTACAAGAATTCATAGTGCCCCTCATGTGTTCGAAAAGTTGTTTTATGTACGTCTTCTTTTCGTACCCGTATTTGATGATACCCCAATTTCATATCCAATTTGGAAAAGATCATTTCTCCATGAAGCGCATCCAATAATTCATCAATCACCGGGAATGGAAACTTGTCTGGAATAATAACTTTATTTAGGGCCTTATAGTCGATGCAAAAACGCCAACTCCCGTCCTTTTTAACCAATAACACCGGAGTAGAAAAAGGACTAAGACTTGGCTGTATAATCCTGGATGTCAACATTTCCCGCACCAATCGCTTTATTTCATTCTTTTGAACGTGGGGTTATTGATACGGTCTAACCCACACAAGGTCTATCCTCTTGCAACCGGATTACGTGGTCAATTTTTCGACTCGGTGGCAGCGCTGCAAGCATGTGGAAGACCTACTAGTAGCTTTGTTGGACTTGTAAGATTTTTGCAGGCGTTTGTTTTTCCTCTTCGTGTTCATATGTTGCAGCCTCTAGACTCCCCAGTTCAACCTACACTCCCTACCCTTCTTTTTGCAATGTTTGCACCATCGTTTTAAGAGAAACTCCTGTCTTTCGAAGTCCTGTATCTCCTTTCAATGTACACCAGGTTTTTCCTATTCTAAATCGCATGGTTAGTCGCTTCCAATTCACCTCCATATCCCCCAAACTACTTAACCATTGCATTCTCAGTACAACATCAGTTCTCCCCAGCTCCAATGGTAAGAAATTATCCACGATTGTTAACCCTTGCAGCTCAACTACTACCCCTTTGCAAATTCCCCTTCCCTTAATCGACACTCCCGTGCCCATAACAACTCCATAATTGGTTATGGCGGTGATGGGCAGCTCTAGTTGTTTGATGAGCTCAAGAGATATGAAATTATGGGTGGCCCCTCAATCTATTATCACCGTTACCCCTTTTTGTACTAATTTTCCCCAATAATTCCTCCACCGTTGCCATTTGTTTGATGCTCATAAATTTCTCGCATAGACTACCCTGTTGTGTGGGCCGAAAACGCAGCAGAATAAGCTGGCGAAACTGCTCCCATGATTATAATGGTGTCCTTGCTTTGGTCCATTGTAACCAGGCAAGTGCATCTCCGTCCAAGCTGACAGCCACCGCTCCTAGCTTCTCTTTTTCTGTCGGTCCATTTACCTCAAAATACCTCTCCGCTCGATACAACCACCCATCTGGGTTGTCCCCACAGAACACGGGCATTTCAAGTTTCCTTGTGTGTTTCCAATTCCTTCCCTCCATTAGGGGCGACAAAAAAACTCGTTTAACTCGATACCCGTGAGGTCCTGTCCCGAATGGGACGGGGATTACCCACCTAACCGGGTAAACGGGGCGGGGACAGGACGAGGTTCATTGTTCCGAAGCGGGTATGAGACGGGTACGGGAAACATAATCCCCGTCCCGCTACCCACCCTGTTTAAAGTTAATTTCAAAATTAAATTTTTTATCAAACAAAAATAATAGATTTATCATTATTTTTTAAGATATGATAATATTTACTAACTAAAGATATAAAAAAGTTAAAAGTGAAAAATAAAATAAATAAAAAATAAATGAGGCGATAAATAGGGCATAAAACTTGCCTTGCCCCGATCCGAACCCACCCGTCCCGCTTTAAGCGGGCATGGAGATAGGGTAAGGTAACAAAAAAATCAGACGGGACAAAGGTGGAAATGGCCAACCCGTCCCATACCCGTCCCATTGCCATCCCTACCCTCCATGTACGACCTTGTGGCTCTAGTTTTCCCCATTGCTTCTGGCCATTTACCTTGATCCGATACTTGATGTTCTAGTATAGGTTTGTTGCCACCGTATATAGGAAGCTAAACCTCGGATGCACTATCGATCCCTTCTCCTTCCGTGCCTCTGTCTACTGTGGTTTTGGGTATGAACATGGTTGCCATAATTTGCTGGGTTTCTTCCATGGACTGCATCATTTTGGCCATACTTTGAGATAGGTGTTCTACTGATTTTTCTAAGCCTGGCAACCTTTGCATTTCTGACCTTAATTCTTCCATTTCTTTTGCCATGATTTCCACTCTGCCTTCAGTTTTCTTTTGCGCCATCAGGAAGGAATGCTCTAATTAGGGATGGCAACGGGGTGGGTATGGGACGAGTAGGTCATTCTCACCCCCGTCCGATCGGGTATTTTTGTTTCCTTACCCCATCCCCAGACCCGTTTAAAGCGAGATAGGTGCGGGGCAGGTCCTCTGCTCCATTTATCGTTCCATTTATTTTTTCTTTTTATTTTTATTATTTTTGTTTGATAAAAACCTTAAATTTGAAATTAATTTTAAACAGGACGGATAGCGGGGCGGGGACAATGATTCACGTACCCATCCCATACCCACTTCGGGGCAATGAACCCCGCCCCGTTTACCCGATTAGGCGGGTTATCTCCATCCCGTTTGGGGTGGGGCCCCACGAGTTTTGGATTGAACGAGTTTTTTTGTCATCCCTAGCTCTGATACCAATTGATAAGTATCAATTGTAAAAAATGAATTAACGGGATTTTGAGAATCAAACAACAGCAATATATCGATGAAAATAAGATGATTACAGTAATAAAAAGAGACACTTAAATAACCTTTCGAGAGGACTATCACTCTCCTATTGCAACTACTACTTGCCAAACTTTTGCCTGCCTTCTACATTCATTTCCCGCCCTATTTGTAAGTGACTTGTAACTACTTGGCCTACCCGCCTAACAAATTTTGTTACACTCAATTGCTTCTCCATTCTTCATTTTCCTTCTAGAATATGTGAACTTAATTGGTGGCCTATCATTCACCTCCAGAAAATGTTCTTCTTCTTGGCAATTTGTCAGCATTGTTATTAACCCAGAGCATAAGTGCCTTCAGATCTAAAAAAATTTCTCTTAACAAGAGAGTAATCACAATTTGAAATCATGATTATGGTTGCCTTATTTGATGTTCTTATAACATCTGTTCAATGGCATGTTTGACAAAGCTTAGAAAGAAGTAAAGTAATTTTTTGTTTCCAAATATGTTTAGATAATCTACTTTTTTTTTTCACCTGTCACTATAAAAAATAAGCAACACATTTATTTTCCACTTTCACCAATAAAAAACACTATTCATTTCAAGATTTATTTACTTAGCGCCTGTTTGAGCCCCCCTTTTTTTTGCCCAAAGTGCATTTTGGAACAATATTTTGTTAGATAATGTGTTTGTTGAGATTTCATTGATCTAAAGCTCTATTAAGAGAGCTCTTATAAATATACTTGGATTGTGTATGGAGGAAGTGTATACCGGATTTCAACATACCGGTTATTCATCATAAAAAACATATGAAACATAAGCATAAATCACTCTGTTTTGGGCAATAAAAAACATAACATAAACATAAATCACTCTATTCTGGGCAGAATAGAGGAGAAGAAGACAACATTGAATGTCTACATTTTTGAAACCTTTTTATGCTATATTTCCTTTTTTTAGTTCATACAACTTGGCTCTATTTATAGACAACCATTGATAGATATTTACTAGATATTTCTATCATTTGACAAACCACTTGATTGTAGTAGCNTCTACCACATTTGATAGATATTTACTAGATATTTCTACCACTTGACAATCAACTTGCTTGTAGTAGCTCATAACTAGCCTATCTTTCTATCGTTACATAATTAGACTTTAACCAAACTAAGTAACTAAATATTCAACCAAGAATACAATTAAAAAAAAGTGACAACAAAATGTCACAATTCCAACAGTGTTGTTAAACAATAAAGAAAAATGTTGAGTTTGCGTGTAATATTATTTTATTGAAGCATGTGGTTGAAAATAAGAAGGAAAAATGTATTTTGGAAATAGTGGGTATCAAATAAGGGCTTAAAGTAAATTTTAAGCATAGCCAAACATACTCGCGGGTAACATTTTCACTTTCTCGAGATTTTCTCAAGTTAAGCTGCTAATTGTCACCATGGACTTGTAGTCTATGCCTCTTGTGGTCTAGTTGTGCTGCCATTGGCTCTCTATCAGAGTCTTTTGGTCCATGGCTTGGCTCAATTGAGGTTTCACCGGTTTGCTTGCGTAGTTTCTTAAATATGGAAAACGTTCTTTTTCATCTCACCATCTAAGAGACATTTTTATCTTTTTCTGCAAAACATGTTCTAGGTTGTGTCCAATTATCTGCTATTACTTGGAATAAGAACATCAAATAAGCATACGATCTTATTCATCTCATAGTTGTTCAAATACAACTAAATGACTATTACTTGAAGGGAAAAATAAGGGAAACCGTCTGTGCCTCCCCGTGCATGATGAACTCAGAACTCACTGAGTGTCATAACAACACAAATTCACTGGGTCCTATCTTAAACTGTAAGAGATCCAGTGACTGGTTGATACAGTTGTAAACAAGTAATTTTATCTACAATGACAGTCATTGAAAGAAGGGTATCCATCAGGTCAGAAACTAGAAATCAATAATGGGTTCTCCAACAGTGAGATTACGCTCCAAATTCCATGGTAGATTAAAGAGCTTTGCTGTAATGAACTTGAAGATTTTGTTCACGTTGATGTTGTAGGTTGCACTTGAAAAGAACAATGTTGCATTCAGTGCCTTTGCATATGCTCTTGCCTGTTTTCACACATACAACTCGTGTTAGTATTTTGTATCTCGAATGTTGAGGACTTTTGGTGGTCGGAGTAGAATTAACAGATGCAAAAGACATAAATAACTTTTTTGTTAGAGTACAGTGACACATTCTATTTGGGCTGGCTCGAAAAGCTAGCCGTGCGACCTATGTGGTGAAACTAGGGTATAATTATATCATATCAGTCGGAGTAGTCGCACATTTTGTAATGCGAATTTCTTCTGCCCTGCTCGTGGTTGTTTCCCATCTTGAATTTTCACGTAAATCTTGTATTGTTCTTATTTCATATATTGTCTATCCTTGTTTTTGTGTAACACTTTTTGTGATAGAATCTAAGTTGATTTCATGAATTTGTTTGCACTTTCTATATAAAAACATGAATGATGTTTGTGGTTTTTACCTGGCTTGCAATTGTCCACTGTATATGTAGTGGTAATTGCACGAAGTCGTCAAACTTGGTCCCTATTATTACTGGGATTGCTGTCTGCAATATGATCAAAGATTTACATATCATTTAAGAACACATTGTACTTAAAATGCATTATATTTAAATTTGTTTTACCTGATTCCATTGCCTGGCTTGTTGAAACCATTGAATTACACTGTAATCACAGAAACATCAAACATTCATACAAGTTTATTGAGAATTTAATATATTTTTCTTGATGAATTGAGATGTTACCTGTTCAAGGTGCATCGACTCGTGAGATCGAACATAAATAACATTGCTACTGAATCTTTACAGGCTGCTTGAATTTTGTCATCAACAGTAGAAACATTGCCTGCATTGTTTAAAATGCAATCGAATATTGGCAACCAAAACTTTTTGTATTGTATTTATTAGAAATTATGTGATTTTTGTTGCTTACCTCCCACTTCCCAGATACTATAAGAAATGTGTGCTCCTTTCACACACAATGTTTTGTCCACCTGATTCATTCCTGTCATTGGAAATTCTTTGAGTCCCTTTTCTCTCCCAGCATACTTGGTCTTCAACATAAACAAATGAAACCAACATCAGACATATATGGCAATCCATAAAAGATTTGTAGTCTACGAAAATATTTTCATATGTTTGATATGTTAAGATTGGATAGTCGTACTAACCAGGAAACTTGTCTTGCCGATCTGACCATCGCCCAAGAGACTGATTTTCAAAGAAACTAGATCCGATGAATCTTTGTCGGGATTGCAGAAGCAGTGTGGTGTTGAGGTCATATTCGTGGAGGACAAGCCAGCGGTATCCACCAGAGGCGATAAAGAGGAAGAGACGGTGGAAGCTGCAGTTGGCAATTGTCTATACCGAACGGACGACTTTCCGATAAAACAAGCAAGAAATCGTTGCCAAAGCGAGTTGAGATACCACCGGAGAATCGAGACCCGCCAGAGGATTCTTTTCTTGATATTGAAATGAAACATTTTCCGGCAAAGCTGAGTCATTTTTTCGTTTATGTCGAGAGAGATGGCCTCAACAACTTTCTTCGGTCATAAAAGTGGAATAGCTTTGCCTTGTCTTGTACCTCTTTTGATGTCTCCCTAATCGTGGGGTGCATTCTTCTTTATCATTGAGAACTCAGCAAATTTTTAATAGATATTTGGTGAGTATGGTGGCCTCGTCATTTTGGACATGAGTTGACCGATATATTATGGGTACCCTACGTTAATTGCATTCTAAATTAGCGTTCTGTCACTTCTAACTTTGCTACGTCCATTGCATGTTTTTCTACGCTTATTTTTTTCTGAAAATAATAATTTTTTATTGAATTAAGTCGAAAATAAGTAAATTCAAAATGACTTCTGTTTAAGTAATTTTTTTTAGCAAATATGCCACTTGTTTAACACGATGTGGTCCTTCACATGCACGTTCTTTGATCCGATGGGATCCTTGAGTTCCATTTTTATAAAAAAAAAAAATCATTCTTTTAAAACTCATTTTTAATCGCGTTCTTTTAATAAAATAATTTGAACGTAAATCCATTTTTTTTTCTTTCCAACCACATTTAAAAAAAAAAAAAAAAGAAAAAACCACTATTACGAAACTCATTTTTACACGGCTCAAACATATTATCTTGAATGAAGTTGTTGTACAACTAGTGGCTAATTTCTTTGGAAACGATATTGAGCCGACCCTATTGAATAAAATTGTTCCGATCAATTTGTGTCAAAAAAATTAGATTGTATGCATTACTATTAGGGCCGTAGTCTTGATATTAAAAAATTAACTTTTCTTAGCTCTTTTATTATTTGTTGATATGTATTTACAAATCATATGTGAATATGTGATGGGAACACTTGTGTGGATGTAGATTTTTTTGGGGATTTTGCTATTTTGTAATGAATCTTCGGCGGAAAAAGTGGATCAAAGTCTTGTCATTTGGTGGCTATGTATGATTCACGCGTACACTAAGAGAACAGATCTTTGGATATTTGTATGGACGAGGATTGAAACGAACCTCAAGTAAAAACCCCAAAATATGGTGTGATCTCACATGATTCTGTATTCAATTTTCGGTGATGTGAACCTATGTCGAAATCATTAACTCATACGCACTGTCCTTTTTGAAAGAATTTATGTCTATTTTATCTCTCATGAATTTCTTTCACGTCTTTAGCATTCGAACTCAATACATTTGCCTTATCAGAGACTTCAATTGAATATTAATATCAATGAAACATAGGTCTTGAATACGAATCCGAAAAGATGACTCCCCTGAAACGAATAATATGTATGATTTAACGACTTATGTATAGACCCAAATTGTTACAAAGTCTGTCCACTTGACTCTTAAGTTGTTCAATAATAGAGGTATCGAATTTTGTTGAAGTTGTTTATGACTTGTATGTCATAGAAAGATTTTTTTCCAAAGACGTGTAATGTTTCTTAAAATTATAATTCCAATGTCGTTTTCGAACACAAAAAGTTTGTTAAACACTATTCAATCCACTAAAACATGCATGTGCTCATCAATAATTACATATTCTATCTAACCAAGAAAAAAGAAACCTATATTCTCCATGATTAGGAACCCAAGTCCTTTTTGGCCGACTGAAATGACATTTTTTCTTAAGATATTTAACTTGTAGGCCAGGGAATTATGACCCAAAAATCAAATGTCAATTTTAATGTATGATATGAAAAATGTGGGTAATTAACCAATTAATGGAAATATGAAAGATATTTTGAATTGCAACTGCAGATTCATTACAAGTAAATGATACATTTGTGCCACTTTTTTACACGACGATCATATTTCTGTCATGAATAAAATTATTTACGAGATAATAGAATCGTCAGAAATAATAAATTTTTAACTTCGTCGTCACAAGTATCTTTTTACCACCATAGTATTTGATAGAAAATGAAATATAATGTAGAAGAAGAACATGGAGAAGAGAGCAAGAGACCATTGAATGTCTACATCTTTATTG